CGAACTCCGCTGCAAGGGCTTCCTTCGCGGCGGCCCAGTCCATCTTCTGGGGGCCTCTACTGGCCGCATCCAGGGCCGCCTTTCGCCCGGCCTCTGAAGAGGGTCTTCGGCGCCGCCAACTTGCTCCGGTCGGTCTCCAGCCCGGCAGCCTCCGCAACCTCCTCAAAGTCCTCCAGGAAGGTCCGACCACCCCCATCCTCAATTGTCTGTTATTCCCCACATTGCTTTTCCTACTCCGAATGCTTGTACTAGAGACGCCTCGTTCGTGGGAGAGAGTCTGAAATGATTAAATGACAGAGGATCACAACGATAGATCCTAATTTCACAGGAATAAGCATAGGTGCTCGTCAGTACCAGTGAAAGGAAGAAGGCCTTCGCTGCGGAGTTATTTATTCGGAAACGCCAACTGACCGGTTACAGACCACTGAATAGGGAAGCAAAACTCTAATTTGCATCTTAGTTACAAAAACTGGACACCCGTCTTCTCCCGAACGAGGCTTCTTGAACTTTCCTAAAGATTCATTGATTCCACTCATTCGTCGGTCAAATCCAAGCAAATGTTACAGAGTGGCTTTACGAATTTCGCAACAGATTTCCCTTTTACAATAGACGCAAAGCGAAATTCTACGAACAGCACATACTAGTCGTGTGCCTCCCCATCAGTAGTGTCACCGGTACACTGGTATAGTATGGGACCTGGCACTAGATACTTCGTTAGTATGAGGTAGGAATGGGTGTGTGAGATCCCTCTGTATTTGGAAGTAGCTTTTTTGGACCCGGATTTGAAAATAGGGCAGAATGTAAATTGTTTCCATTAGGAGGGTATGACTCCAGAGTTGACTGAGTGGAGAAAATGAACTAAGACGAGGGTTTTGGTATCCTGACTGCCATGCTTTGGAGCAGGGTTAGGGAACCATCTTCCTAGTGAAACAGAGCATATAAGGGTCTGAGGAAATATCAGAGGTAGAAACAACAGCTAGCGAAATGGTTAGGATTTTGAGAGAGGGGTAGCTTCCCTGATTTTGATGTGTGGAGCGTGCGCCAGAGGTAATGGGTCTGAGCTTAGGATGAAATGGAATGTAGAAGCTAGCAAAATGGGCGTTCAGTTGGTCGGCTAAAGTGATAAGCTCGGTGATGAAATAACACTTAGCACAGTGAAACCGTTTGACTGAGTAACTGTATGGGGTTCGGCGCCCACTAAAAATTCAGCTTAGTAATTCAGGGTAAGCGGGGTTCCGGTGTATAGTTGCGCCAGTATTACACATTAGTTCAGGGTATATTTAGATGTCAGATTCAGCGCAACGCCAGTGCCATAGAAAATGACGGCCTGCAAAATTTTACAGACTAGTTCGTCGATTTTGTCACACTGGATGGGCATAACCGACCCGGAAGCGACCCCCACGAAGTCATTTTCCGTACAGTTCACACTCTGCCCTGTGCGTCGATAATAACACAATTTCTTAGGGATCTTATACACCTGACGCTGCTCCAGCGGCAACACCAGTGAGTCTATACGGATTGCTTGGACACTATGGTTTCGATATTTGGAATATCATATGCCATATTGCAAATTTCTTTAGTTAACCATCACAACTTATGCTTCTGGTGAACGCAGTCATAAAACCAACCGTTTAAGCCTAATAAATGGTACTAGATTTTGCTAAAATGGACTAACCAGTCCATTGCAACCCTGCTGCTTAAACAGGTCCATCATTCTGATCACCCTTTTCTGCGGTTTACAATTTTTTATGATGTGCCAGCACTTTCCTGGTTGTGATGTTGCCCACCGTTTTCAAATTATGATGTTCTGAATTTGCTTAAGCTCCATATGTTCCACAAAATATAGGGAACTTTGCTACACCGCAGTTGTCTATCGCATTTTGTTCGTGCCAGTTTAGGCCTGACTGTATCTACGTCGAATAATTCTCGCTATTTGCGTGAATTTCCCATTTCTGCGCAATTCTTAACTCATCAGTCACGATTTCATTTCAATCGTACCATTATGATGATGCCAGGTCGGGATAGACACTAATACTATTATTATCTCCATTGGAGGAAAATGCGTTGGAAAATATCCGTCAGCTTTCCCGGATTTTAAGCATTGCAATTTAGTGCATTTGCACTTTATGAGATCTATTTCATTTACAAGCAAACCCGAACATATGTTTGTTCCAAATGGACTTAGCCATTCAACACAGGTTTTCACCAACCGCACTAGAAGGCTCGATGGTTTGATGGGGTAGGTCAGTTAGCGATTCAAACTGGGGGTCCACCGCCCGACTTTTTTCAATTTTTCCGTTTGCACTTTTCCACAGAGAATACTTAATTTTGCTGATAGTCAACCATGACATGAAAACATGCTTAACAAGCGTGGAAGTAACTGAAAGCTCTGAGTACAGTAATTCTTTTCAGGCGTATTTCGAGTTATTCGGAAACAGTATGTGGATTTCATACTACTCCTGTATTTAAGGTGGCGATATGGTAAGTTGTGAAAAAGTTTTGTGAAAGAAGAGAGACCCAAGGAGACTAGTTGAGTGAGCGGACACGTGTTGTGATGCTAACTTATTCATTTAATGAACGTCAAATTGCCCATCTGTCAAGCGGGGTAAACAGAGATATCCTGAGCTCAATAATCCAGATTATTTTGGATTATTCTAACGCTTACTTTAACAACCTAGCTTTTCCTAATTTATGCGCCATAAGCGTTGGAGCACTTGGCTTGTGTGCACATGGAATTTTGATGCGCGCGCCTCCCGGCTTGTGCACAAAAAACCAGTCAGAAGGCTGGTTTGTGCGTGAATCGCATGCCGTGCTTTACCAGCAAAACGCAGTCCACAAATGAACTGGTGTTGTTGAGTAAGGTTTATCTCACCTGAACAAAAGGCTGTTGATGCAGTCGGGCCAGACCCACTCCATGTAAAATCTTTATTTAGAAATCCTACATCTCCAGTGATGTCATCATGTGTTTGATCCTGGTGGCTGGCAGGGCATGCTATGGTCCCCTAGCCGCACAATGTTCATAGCCGCAAGACCTTTGAGAGCTCAGTGAAATTTTTTAAGCCAAAATGTTGCATTCCGCAGCGTTTGTTCTCGGACTAAAAACCGCCCTAATCCAGGTTCAAATTTTCTCAGCTCACCAAATTTCATTGTCCACCAAGCAATCAACTTTTGGTGGGACAAATTTCTAGCATCGCCGGGACCCCGGGATACCTAGATTGGAGAGTGGTACCCTAAAATTAGTTGTCTGACTGTTTTTGTTCATCAGGGACACACCTCTAGCTTTCGAAAATTAATTTCCATTGTGCGAACATAGAGCGCCGAGCATGCTTATGACAAATGGCCGGAGATGAATTCGCGCCAAATTTCCAAAACACTGCGGAACAAAACCCTGGCTGATTCATTTCTTAAAATTCTTTAGGAAAAATATAATCAGGGGCAAACTCTCCACAACCAACCCTTGACGCGGAGTGATACACTCGAGGGAACTGGAATGCACATTACACCACACTAGTATTCAAGGAAATATAACAACGGCTGTGGTATTAGTGGAGGGAGACCGTTATATCTATCAAATAACCGACTAGCACACCAGATTCATCGTGTTCAATTACTGGACCGCTCACTATTGTTTCATCTAATAGTTGGCTAGTGGATCAATTATCTGCATCAGCAGCGTGACGAAGTCCGACGGAATTCATCCTCAAGAGTGTATCCCTAAAAGGATTATGTTTCGAGAACTATCATGCCTATAGACTAATCAAGAATTGGTTTTCTGCTGCAACCCCAGCCTTCTGTACTTTTCTTTTTTCATCAGAGTCTCTTGCTCATTTGAATGAGCCCGAATACATTTCAAAACCTGCAGAAAACTCGCGAATGTCGAACGAGCAGCCGCCCAGTGACAGTATGTCGTTTGCGGCACGGGACAAAACACACTTCGGCCAAAAGCGAACGCGTTTGCCTACTCAGACTCGAGATCAAGGGTTCGTATGCCGGTGTAACGGTTTGGTTGGACGACTGTTGGAATCACGGACGACCAAGCATATGGAGAGTTTTGTAAGCTCTGTTAAGAGCGAAATCTCTATCAGATAAACACCCGTTTGGTGCAACCCGAACAAAGGGGGGCGAAGTCACATAACTGAAGTTAAAAAAATTACAAAGATAACCGCAGTGAGCCATGATCAATCGAAGCGCTGGGTGGGTATCCTAAACACAATTTCGTAACGGGAGCAACACTCTTAGTTACAGCAGTCTCTAAGACCTGGAAAGCAAGCGACGCTAAACCGAACGAACTGACCAAAAGGCAAACATTCGAGGAGGGATGTGCACACCCCAGGAAGAAGGCAAGCTACAAACGAGTCACAAATATCTAACAAGCAAGCAGAAAGAATCGCAGAGCGCATGATAATATCAGGAGTAGACGAAGGCCATACTTGTGGTCGGACCTAACGTCAAAACAAAGGCATATACGAGGAAGTTAGTCACCATAAGCCGAAAATACTTGTATGCCACATGACAAAATTCCCGATTGTAGTGAAATCTGTGTGGACAACGAGTTAAGCAAGGTCCAGGTGGACAATGAAATCCTAAAGACCAATGCTTGCGGCTCCGAAACAGGATATGCAGTTAAAAAGGCTTCCCATCGATGATGGACTGGTGTCATGGATATGAACCTCCGTACCACAGTCAAACACGCCATGCAACTAACGGTAGCAATCTTAAGAAATACCGATGGGGAACGTGTACACTTGGATTTGCAAACGTAAGGAAGTAGTGGATCATTGCGAACCGAAAGTGCGAAATCTATCAGTCACGAGTCCTTCCGATTGACTGTAATTCGGTGACCGTATGACTACTTATGTTTTCAGTCATCTTCAGTTCTCACCGAACGTGCGTGAAGGACCTCCCGCAAGCCTCATGGTTTGGCATCCGTATGTCACACCCACCTACCTAATAGCCAGCTGATCTAAGCCACTGGCGTCTGAACCGTTGAACACATGATCGCCTAAGCGTAATCATTAGTACAATAAGCAGGCGAAAATCATATACCACCCCGTGGTAGCTCAGGTATGTGCACGACCAATGTACATCCGCACGAAAGCAGATGACGCGTATAACCATCGTGCTTCGGAAGTTGTCCACGAATGAGCATGAGACACAGGTTACGGATGCTGTATCTTTTGGTAATGTCTGAAAGAGAAGCGCGATGACTCACCTGCGGACAGAAAACTTTATTTGAGAAGTAGAATCAAGATGTAGGCATTAAATACTGAGATACTGAACAACCGTGGATGATCTAACGTCCCTAAAACGTCTTGCTGCTCATACGCCTGCGAACCTGATATATAGATTAAAGCAGTAGACGAAAATTTCCACTGATTACCCGTTGTGTCCCTAGGTGAGAGACTGGGTCTGCCTTAGCAGACGAAAATTTCCACTGATTACCAGTGGTGTCCCTAGGTGAGAGACTGGGTCTGCCTATGCGGATGACGGGAGTCCGAACCCATGGAGACCAGGGTAAATTGGTAGACCCAAACACGGTTAAGCAGTTACAGTAAGTCATGTTTAGAAAAGTCGCTTAGTATGCCCAAGCTGCATTGACGTTCAGTGTAACTTTCTACGGTTGAACGGAAATGATAACTGCGTGGTCACCGTAAAATCCACTAGTACGTTACTCAAATGGTTGCCAGTGCCAAGGGCGTTAATGACGCGCAACGTCTGATGACGATAAGTTGGATACGACATGGAAAGAGTTTCCAACTGCTTCATGATTGCTTCCCCACATCGATAAATTTACTATTGTTGCAAATAAATCATGAGGCGGCCTATGCGCAGCATATTCAGTTGAAGAACAGTATAAGCGAGATCGAGTTAGGTCTACCGTTAACATCCACTTCATTTGCTAATATGTCTGTCTGCAGATGCGCCCGATTCGATGTACGCAGAGACTGAAGGAAATTCGGAAACTGGGCCTACCTGAGAAGCTGCAACGAGGACCAAACAGATATTCGATTGCCCAGAGGTTTTCATCTCTCAGACACAAATACTAAAACAATGCACAGTGAACATTTCACTAGTTTTCTGAACATAACCTTCAACGACATTGTGTTCATCAGTCATATTGGCAAAATGTTTCGCGGCTGCTGCCATGAAGATACTTGATCACACACCACTATTTTATAAATATACTGAAGCCCAAGTGACCAAATGGATAGACTCAAAAGAGAAAACTATAAAAAAAGCCTTTATAAACAAGTGGAAAACTGGGACAGAGTGAAGGATATTCGGGTAAGTGCCCACGAACCAGCAAGGGGATGAAAGCAAGGTTATTCCAGTTCATCGAGCTGAAGGAAAACAGGAAGAGTAGCACTCAATTCAGCTGGTTGTTATAGAGGATGTCCTAATAGTGGTACTAAAACCAAACCCCCAAATGAATGTATGCGTGGAAACAACCTACTGATCGCTGCAGCATCGTGAGAATTTTTAATGACAACTTGAATGGCGAAAGCTAAAGGGCAAGTAAGTTGACGTGAAATGAAGCGTACTTTACAAAACATAGCTTCCTATGCTGAAATGGACATTATCAGACGAAGAGAAGTCGAAAACCACTGCGACAGATAGACGACCACCTCAGTTTACCAAGCCGTTAACAACAAACCGATCGAGGTTCTATATGATCCTAGTTGGCCAATCAACATCACACAAATCCCATGGAGAAATAAGCCAGGCACTCGCACAGCCATCCACTTTGGTTTGACTTCTCAAAGTCACTTTAACTCTGGGGTGACAGGTGTCGGACACGGAATCGACGGAAGCAATGACGCATGAGATCCGTGGAGATGAAGTTGTAGTGTCTCCAAGTGCCTTTTCAGTCTGCGGTATGAGCAAAGCAGTAATACCGCACGACGTTCAACAACCTGGCACGCACAACACTTTTTATTATTTCTGAGTGTCCTGAGTAGACGGGTGGTAGTCCAACAACGCAGTGGTTCGAACTTTCTACTTCAAAAGGTGATTCCTATTTGGTGGTATTAATGCACTGAAATGCGAAGCTTGATTTCACTTAGCTGTTGATTCGTAAAGACAATCAGCTGACCACTGGTAGGGAGTCCAAATGGTTTTCACATCAATACTAGTCGATCCGCGAGGATCGACAGTGAGGACAGCCACAACAGCCACGCTCTGTTTCAACTGGTCCGATCAACGGGTCAAAAAGAAGGCAGGTGTCACTGAGACTATGCGAAAAAGACGGAAGAGCAATTCACTGCCTCAATCGCCGTCTTGAGCGGTGAGCTGAGCACTTCCAGGAACAGTTTACCTCGTCTTCTTCAACACAACCGCTGGAAGAACCAAGCGGGCCCAAACGGAACATTGACATCGACCCACTATCTGCAACCGAAATCCAGCGTGAGATTTCAATCTTGAAGCGCGACAAGGCCCCTGCCCCGAATGGTCTACACCCCGAGTTCTTCAAAGGTGATGAGGTCCTGGTGAATAGTCTGACAACCAAACTGCAGAAGACTTTGAAAGAAAACAGAATACCAGCCGAAAGGAGCTCCTCGATCGTCATTCCAGTTTTCAAAAAGGGAGAAAGAACGTCGTGTGGAAACCATCGTGTTATCAGCCTGGTATCCATGGCATCTAAAGTGCTATTTGCAATTATTTCGCCCAGGTTGATGGATTATCGAGAGAGACAGATTCGTGAGAATCAAGCTGGGTTTCACCCTGGTCGAGGATTCATCGACCATATGTTTAACTTGAGACAAATTCTTGAACAACGTCAGTCGTTCAGACGTCCCACGTTAGTCGTTTTTCTGGATTTGAAAGCTGTTTTTGATTCTGTCGATCGTCAGCAACTTTGGCGATCAACAGTGTCCCTTCCAAATTTCTCTCCCTTATGAGGGCACCGTATGCGAACTTCTGTGGGCGCGTACGAGTATACGGGAAGCTCTCGCCTGAGTTCACCATGTCCAGTGGTGTAAGACAAGGCTGTCGTTTATCCCATTTCCTCTTGGACTTTGTTACTGATATGCTGCTTGAAATTCCTCTGCCTGCATCTGAAACCTAGGGGGTCGAAAGGCCCCGCCTTGGTTCAGATCCTTCCCAAACACAAAGGATTTTAAATAACCTAAATAACTCTGCCGCACGGTTTGACATGCGCTTCAAACCTGCAAAACGTAAAATTCTGCTACAAGACTGGGTGAGATCACACCAACGCCTCATGCTCGCAGGTGAGCAAGTCGACGTGGTAGATATTATTGTTTACCTGGGTAGCTGTATAAGTTCCAGTGGACTGGCTGGAGATGAGATTATTTCTCTAATCGGAAAAGCTAGGACAACTTCTGCCAACCACCGACACCTATGGCGTAGACGTGAAGTGATTCTGCCTGTCAAGGGTGGAATTTACACTGAGGTGGTGCGATTCATACTGCTTTATGGATCAGAGGCGTGGCCCCTACGCGCAGAGGACACATGAAAGAGGTCAGTGTTCGATCATCGGTGTCTCCGAAGTATTGGTCAGGTGTGGTGGGAACATCGGATCAGTAACACTGAGGTAGGCCAGATAGCATTAGGAAGAAGGAACTCTCCCGCGATAGATGAATTATTCACACTTCATAGGTTGCGCTGATTGGGACATGTACTCCGCATGCCAGGATATCTGCTTCACAGAGGTCTTTCTTTCCAGCCCTGTACTGAGTGGAAGCGGCCGAGAGGTGGACAATGTATGACCTGCCAACGAAGTACGAAAACACTAATCAATAAGCTTAGTCGGGTGGGTAACTGGCGACTCCCCGGGACTCAAATCACCAGTGGTTAATAACGTCGGCAAAAATGGTCTGATCGCGCACTCAGAAGCACTCGTGCATCAAAACTATCGCCTTCAATGCATAGCTACAAAATTTCCGAACAAACTGAACATGGCTTCGCCTCCAAGGCTTGGTTGTGTCTCACACTCCCGTTTCCCGGTGATCGAAACTGTAGCAGCTGGAACCAGTGTGCCTATGGCACACGGCTTATAAGTGATATAAATTGATTGATTGGAGGAGTGAGGATAGATGACTATTCAAGTAGAGAGCAGACCACTCATCACAGGCAGAAACAGGCAGGTTCCACACCTGATACTTAACAGTACCATGGATTTCGGTGACTCTCGGACTACGACACGCTAGAACATACTCCCACTATTTCGGCACCTTGTTCACGTTCGCAGTATCCAACTGGGTAACTGCTACTTCAGGCACAACTTAAGCTCGCGCGATTCGTCTATTTAATTAAATACGCTGTTGGCACACATGACTTTGTAAAAATTGTGAAAACTTTTGCGAAATAGAGTTGACGTAGAGAAAAACACCCAAGCAGTCCTTCAAAGCGGAAATCCCAGATATGTGTGAATCAGGTTATTGAATATGCTGGAGTACTCAGGAATCGAGAAGGACTACCGGACCAGTAAGTATGGAAGATGGACGGTGCACAAGACACTCGACAACATTAGTGAGCCCGAATTCCACAAATCCCACAACTAACTTCAACTAATCAAGATTGTCCAGCGGGACCGCCTGTGACTGGAAAGTCGTGACAGGTGGGCCAATCAATCGATAAAACCAGGACAGTTACAGAGTCGTCGTTCGAAGCGAGCAGTCACCTAATCACTGAGCATGTTCGCTTGTTCAGACGTGGAAATTCATACTTGTCTTACCTCGCACGTCAGATGTCCGGAGTTCAAACCACGGCACTACTGATGAGCTTTAAAAATAGCGAAACTCGAGTCTGTTGCTTCCTTTCCATTGATGTGGAATTACTACAATAATTGCGCAGGACAGGAAGACCGTTCAAACGAGAGTGGTGCAAGCACGATTCCACAAATCCTGCAATCACCTACTTTGATAATTCCTAGGTACGGCTAAGGATTCGCTAGTATTCTGAATCCGGAATCCATATGGCGATTAACACAAGAAAATTTGGCGAAACTGGTGAAGACAAACGAGTGGATACAGTGAAATTGAAAACAGCTTACCAGCTGTTCCGTCACTACTCCATTCGTCGGGGTGGGTGGTGCCGATGGAGAGCCACAGCTTTGGTCAACAGGTGGTTCATTTTTCGTGGAAGAGGACAGAAACGAGTCCGCTTCCATCCGAGAAACCTCTATACCTTGCACCTCATCATCGCTGATCAGGCCAAATCCTGACAATGTACAGTAAGGCAAAAAGGAATTATTTCCTAGAGAGTCAGTGGATTTCGGTACTCTGAAAAGAAAAGGTCAGCATAGAGGCAAAAAACTTCTTATAAGCAAATTGCCTGAAGTTGAGCTTAGATCATGCAACAAATCAGTTCATTGGTGATAACTAACGACACCATTCAACAACTGCAAACGGAGAAAGCGGAACGCAGATATACGCACCTTTCGAAGAAAGTGTATAGCGAACAACAAAATAGCCATTCACTCATCAGGAGCAATAGAAATTATATTCAAGTAGTGATTATCTTTCCCTGGCCATCATGATTAACAACACAGCATAAACCAGGTTAAGACAACGAGGCAAACACTGAGAGATAGCTTACTTCACATGATTTTATAAACAACTACAACATTTAGGAGTTCCGTGCCGTGTGTGTGACGACCGTTTCAGTGTGAATCGTATACTGCTGCATTGTTCATTCAAGCAGTTTAGAAAGGCTTGACGGTGTGTGGTTGACATGACTGCATGTCATTAACCTTTCTCAGCCAGGTGCGTGGTGAGTGGGCGAATTCACATAAGGACTTGGTTTCCATAAGGTGTAAGAAGAGATTAGATGCTATGGGTGACACTGGAGAGCCCATAGCGACACGGTCAGTTTAGCTGGAGAGCGTGTTTTGAAAGCTGAAATATGTGGTGCTTAGACACAGTTCATGTCCGTCATGGCACGGGTTAAGGTTGTTCTCTGTCCTAGAGATGTTACGTCACGCAAAGGTAAACAGTCGTATAAAGAGCTCTCACATCAAAGCTGACTGCTACTGCAGAGGATCATTAGTTTCCTGGACTGCAAGCTCTCAGTTAACGCTAACCATGGATTCTCAGTGGGAATCCATAGAAAACCTACACACTCAGACAGGTATTTGCATTATGAGTCTTCTCATCCACACTACGTCAAACGTGCTGACGAACCGCATCACGAAGCTATGCTCGGACGAATCCACACGAGCAGACGAACTGACGCGACTCAGTAGGGTATTACGGTAAAATAAATACACCATGAGGCTCATTGTCCAACAAAGGGGAAGAACGTTACTCCGAACAGGAAGATAAAAACCCGATGGTCACCGTGGGAATACCCTACAGAGTTGGCACTTCAGACGCCATTCGAAAAATATTTCGGGGTTATGGTAGTAAAACATTTTCCCCAATTGACAGCACGTTACAACGACACCTTGTGAGGGCTAAGGACCAAATCGAACTTAAACACCGTACAAATTGCGTCTACCAAATTCCCTGTGCAGAATGCCCAGAAAAACACATAGGTCAGACAGCTAGGTAACTCCATGTACGGATCACAAAGCACAAACGACACATGCGTTTTCCTCCAAGAGTTGGAAAAACTAGAAGGCGACTCAGCCATTGCTTTTCACGCACTTGAGTCAAACCATCAAATCAATTTCGATGATACACGTATACTACAGTCAGAATCCAAGTCACATGTGGAACGGACGTGCGCTGAGGCCCTAGAGGTCAACACAGAGTCGAACTGCATCAACCGGGGTGATGGTGCCCACATCCCATCTATCTGGATTGGACTTACTGCACACCTTAGTAGGCATAGTAACCAGATATCAAAAAGGGATCTCAAAAATGACGCATCACAACGGGCACAACAACAAACGGAAGCACATCCAAATCAGAGTGCACACACACACACTGACCCAATCTGACTGCTAACTGATAACATGGATGTACTAATCATAAGACAAGGTAGTGGATCTAAATGTCGCTGTACTTGAGTCGTATTGGGTGATGGTGCCTCCCATCTATCTGGATTGGACTTACTGCACACCTTAGTAGGCATAGTAACCAGATATCAAAAAGGGATCTCAAAAATGACGCATCACAACGGGCACAACAACAAACGGAAGCACATCCAAATCAGAGTGCACACACACACACTGACCCAATCTGACTGCTAACTGATAACATGGATGTACTAATCATAAGACAAGGTAGTGGATCCAAATGACGCTGTACTTGACTCGTATTCCGTTGATTGTAGAAATCCTTGAGAAAGGTTGCCCACGGCAACCGAAACGTCGGATTACAACAACCTACTCCACTACGCTGTTTTGACCATATAAGTAGAAAAACTCCACATTACGGCAACAGTTCATCAAGTGAAATCACAATGTTCCTGTAACGGTTGCAGTTGCACGATTCAAGGAAAATCTACGTTAAGGTTAGACGAACATAGCAATGACCAAGTGATTGTTTCATTGGTTACCCAACTGTAACCCATAGTGTGTCTGTTTGCTGTTCACCCTTCATTGCTGCACGCATATTTTGATCCCAACTGACACATTGTATCGATGTGGTGGTTTTGTAAGACCATCCTAAATGCTTGAAATCAACAACAGATACCTTCTCGCCATCCTAACCAAACTGCTCAAGGTCCTAATCCCCAAAGTCAGTGTCAGAAGTATCTAATTGGAAGAACACGAACATGCAACAGGGAGCCAGGGAGTCGGCAGTTCGACACATTCATACGCGATAACGAGGGCGAAATGACAGGACATACATTACCAGAGATCAAACCAAGGAAAATAGCCAGCAATCACCGCCGTTTGCAGGGCATATTTATACCATACTACGCTACGTGAAACTAATTAAAATGCATACCTACGAAACACACCACAGCTAAGAGCGCCACACAACAGCATTTGAGCAGGACGCAGGCTCTTAGGCGACAAAATGAATTAAACTATTCCGAAAGACAATGAAACAGACACGGTCGGACGTCTCACGAAATGCCTCAGCCACTACTGGAGGTTTATTGACCGGTCTTCGGTAAATACTGCGATTCACTGACAACACAGCAGGTAGCCTACCATCTGGCAACTTAGAAACTTATCCCAAACAAGTTGGCTAGCAGGCTAATTGCTTTTGGAACTTTTTGAGCAACCATCCGTGTTCTGGCTAGATTACCCGTGCTCGGAAGTCAACAGACCTTAGATAGCCACCACTGCCACAGGCCATGAGACCTCTGAACAAAATTGTACAAAAAAACCTTTTCCTCTCTAATTGCAAACAACTGAATGGGAAAACATTAACAAGCCACCTTGTGTAATCGTCTCCACCCAAAACGACAGCCGCGGATCCATTGCTCCTCCGTTTGGTCGGTTTGCCTGCAAGTGGCCACGTAAATATAGATCTTCGCGCCATGTACGAATAAATGTATTGTAATCCTGTGCCAACCTTAAATCGGGGTTCGGGTTATTGGTCGCTGCGCGGATCGCTCGTTCCCGATAGGCAACAAGACAAGATATAGCCCTTGGTCGCAAAATGCTCCCCGTGTAAGGATCGGTGACCAGTTGGATGATGCGGCTCTCCAAACGCTGAGAGGCTGTAATGTGGAAAAAACACGAAAAAAAGAATAAAGACGAGGGGAAAAGGGGAAAGAAATGAAGATCTTCAACAAACGTGTCATCAACGAGAAAATTCGACAGCCAGACTAGTTCAAAAGGCGGAGGCTGTTTCTATCTGCAGCGAAAAGTCTTCAGACCAGACTTAATTCACCGGGCCATTCAAGAAAATGCACGCCTGATTCTTGAAATAATCACCCAAAGGAAAGAAGCCTCGAACCTTTTTTAGGGGGAGATTTTCTTCAGAGGGCCGGACTCTAGGTCGTGGATGGGGGGAAACATTGCTACGAGTGTTTAGAAGGGCGATCTTTCATCGAAAGTTATTCTTGGAACATGCTGTGCCTATAAAAAGATGAAAAACCAATCATATTCCGTGACAGATACAGCCACACACCAAAAAGCGCAAAAAAACGCGAACCATGATTCCTTCCTCGTAGTCAGCATACCGAAGATACGAACCAAGAAATTGGATCTTATCACCTGAATACCGGTTGTGCGGAGTCAATAATGGTCCCAAGCACCAACAATAACGTTTTTTTGGACTGGAAGGAAGGAGACCCATCAATTTGTCGCACACCTAGGTTACCAGGAGAGAAAAGCAAATGCTTACCAAAGCGTATGTCTCCCTGTGCAAGCAACTTATCAAAGTCGCCAACTGGGTCAACAGAACCGACATCCGTTAGCGGCGAGACTTGAGAAAGTGCTGAACCAGAGTTGAGTAGAAGGCCTCCGCCACCAGTGAACGAATTACTCGCTTGGGTGTTATTCCCGGTTAGTGTGCTATCATTGGTTTGCAGTCCAAACAGTTCAGTGGCCATTAATCGACGTCGTTTGGCAACCGATGCACCAGATTCGGCTTCTTGTTCTTTTTCAACTGAAGATAATGTAGGAAGACAATCCAGAAGATGACATCTTGCTAAAGACACCGGGTCGTTTCCACTTGCATTTTCGTAAACCGGTGCGATTCTGGAAAGCAGTTGTTCTAGTCCTGGCAAATTCTGAGCCACCAACCATGAATCCATCGATTGGTTGGATGTGGACGGTATAAGGCTTTCAGTAGGGTTGAGTCCACGCTCCCGGAAACAAGTGAAGAGACGCTGGATCCAAGGACTGGGAAGTTGTTCGGGTTTGACGTCAAGATTCAGTCTACAGAACGGAAGTGAATGACACTGACAAAAAGTCTTCAAGTAACCAGGTCAGTTGTCACTATATTCCTAAGCACCTCAAAAACAAGGCCTTTTGGTGATATTCAGGCTAGGGAGAGATTTCGATCAGTTTTTTGCTCTGCGTCATAAAATAAATCATGGGCTTCAAGCTTCAGCAGATTACTTCCGCTTGTATGGGTGGCACAGAAAAAAGGCATAAATAGTGAGTCGGGACAATTGCGTTGAGTTCCGCCAGTCTCATTTAACATACCACAACAAAGAACGAAAGTGCAGTGAAGCACGCTTCTTATAAGTCTGGGTGAAGATCACCCATTCGAATAAACCGGAGTGGGCGTAAAATGACTGTTAAACACATGTGGTGGCATGTCATGGAGCCTCAGTGTCAAACGGGATCAAAATGTACTAGAACGGAGAACTCTGAGCACATAGCAACGAACTGATCAGTTTCGAGGACGTCTAGTGGTACACTATGATGAAGTTCGATCGGTTGTTCATCTAGTGGCCCAATTCAGCAACGAGAAGGAAAAATGTTCCCGAGTTCTTACACCAAGAATTCTGTCAGTTCGTTCCGAATAAAATTCATCATATCTGCAGGCGATACGATAAGGAGGTTTTGCATGTACTCTGACGTCAACTTCACACTGTCCTCTAAGGCCGCTTGCAGTATTGATTTTTACTGAATATCACCCTTGGAGGACGGCATCATCTTTCGCACAGTAGGCTTGAGATTCGTTTGGCACTAGGCATGCTACAACACCCGATATCAGGCATTCGACCGACCGAAATACCATGTGAAACGAGAATCGATTTGATGAAGTACGACATGAACTTTTCCCAATCGATTCGTTCGTACTATCCTCTCATCAAAGTCCTAGTACTACTGCATGGCAAGGAGTTTGGTATTTCTAACCTCCACCCAGGGGAGGGACTTTCTCCCTATCCGGTCACAGTTGGTTACACTGTCGATTGATGATGCGCTCAAGCAAACCACTACGAGGCTTGGATGTACAACACGCACCTGTACTATGTTTACAGTCCTGTGTATGGGTTAATGAGGTGACACTTGCCCTTCCACGATTTTAGTGATCAGCACACAAGGAATTCAGAAAGGATGACTGGAGTGCAGTTCACGCCGGTATACAAAGCCACGCCAAACACTCTCAACCCAGCAAAGACTATCGGTGTACGGCGCAGTGTGCACTGCTAGTGTAGCTTCGCTCGTGATTTTGAGTCAACAAGATTACCGCGGCGCCACAGGAATAAATACGTCTCGGAGTAAATGCACCCAGAGTAAGCCCTAACTGTTACAAAAACTTATACAAACGAATGACCACATCCAGCTAGGGGCATTTGTAGTACAAGTCGAGAAGTGCCCTGGCACAATAAGCAGAGATACACATCAAGTTAATGTGTAAAAACGAAGGTGTAGAATAGATTAACCTACCCGGTACTTGCTTCGTCTTGCCTTTCATTACATTCGGCATCCGAGTCATCCTCATCACTCATTTTACCCAACAGTAGTGAGGAGACGAACTCATCCATGACCTTTAATTGCTCATCCGTTGGAGTATGCCTATCCGGTTTCACATAGCTTTTCGAAGGCGTTGTACGCAACGGGAGTGACGGGAATTGGAATGTGCGAATGTCATCGGCAAAGGCTAAATCTGTGTAGAATAGAGCAACTTGCGTACCGCGCACTCTGAAAAGTGATAAAAGGGTGAAGATTGTGGCAACAACACATATCCAGATATAGACAACCACACTAGTGGTGTAAGGGTACGTGCACAAAGTTTGAAGCAGATTCTTTTCGCCAAAAAATGTTTTCCAGAGATATCGGTGTTCTGACAAGAAGTAGTCACCGTCTCACAAATACCGTCACACACGGGTCTAAAGCCGGTGTATAAAGGACCATGAAAACACAAGACCCACAAAGAGAGGAAACTGTGTACGTTAAGAGTAACTACAGGGATTAATCTGACGAGAGTGGTGTGGATATGAATTCGAATATGTGAAAGTGTACACACAGGTGGAACTGAAAAATAGCTTCTTTGAACAGTGCTATTGAAAGAAAAAGAAAAAAATGCTATTGAAAGAAGATAGTACCACTCGGATTCGAACCACAAGAATACATGACAGATAGTACCAATGGTTCATATTCATTGTTGAATTGTTGGATAAGCCTGGCAATTTTGTCACAAACGTTCTGCTGCCAATCGAGGATATATAACCCGTGGTAACTGCCGTGTTCGTGGATGGGAATTCGGAGTTAAGACACATTAGAGGCCAGAGTGACTCGCAGACACAATCCGTTCATGAGCTCAAAGGCACCAATGCATCCAAGTTATTCCCTCCCGATTTCCCCAACAACAGAATCCCTGGATTCACTCGTAAATGCCATGCGCGACTGGAATGTGGCGACGCAGATCATTGGCAAGTGTAGCACAAAGAGCCACTGTACAGGATCTTTATTGCTGTTGTTGGTGATGACATGACCAGTGTGTTGTGGCGTGCTGGCACATAGATACATTTCACTGACCAGAAGCTGAGGAATAGTTTTTTTGCAAGTCGAGAGCATGGATGAAATAACTAGGTTATTAAAACCATATTGAATGTAGTAAGCTCACAAACCGAGCGCTGCCTTGAAGAGGCAAGTTTCGTGACTGATTAAGGATGGATAATCTATTTTATAATTTCTACACATTGAGGTCCCCGATCATGGCACACGCGGTTAAAAAGCAAAGAAACTTACCAAAGCTACGCCACGAAAAATTCAGTCAGCTCATATTTCAAGTTGGTGAAATACACATAATCCTGTGAATGAGCGAATTCCAAATCAATCAGAACCGACGACCAGTGACGGGATTACCGTGGAACCAGAGGAGCAGAGGTCGTCGGGTACCATTTGGAGAGGCCAAGCCCAAAGGTCATTTGAACCTCGACTAGTGTGAAGTCGAGCGAACGATCGAATATCCAGATGACCAACAATAATCAGGAGTCAACTCCGGGTCAGAACGTACCGAACGTACAACTATCTTATCCCCAACTGTCTCCTTCCCACTGTATCGCTGATCTTTTTCTAAACGTACACCACTATAGATTGTTTATTATCCCCCCCCATAATCTATTCAGGTTTGGTAATCATACTACAGTTTACCGTTCATATGACCGACCCATCATTGACTATAAATTTCACTGTATCCGGTCACACATTGCTCGGATGTGCATTCGGTGTTTGCCCGAGTTCGCACGACCATTTAGAGTGGTAAAATTAGCTAGCTAGATACATGAATCCAGTTTCGTTTCCGCTTCTTACTTCACATTTGTCTCTATCGGTGGAGCAAAAGTGTGCAGCCTTTCACGGAGATCAGCAGTCAATTTCAATAAGTATGAAGACCCAATCAAATGGGCTTCCAGAGAACTTACAAAAAATTACGAAAATGGGGACTACCTTTAGTAGTGTTTTCCTATTATTACCGGAGAAAATAGTAAGGGATAGCACCGCAAACGAGTTGGTCCTTATCAAGAGGTAGTAGCATTCAGTAGGGCCTTACGCATCGCTCAGATCAGTCAGTGCGAAGTGGCCAGAAACAAAAATGCCAACAGACCCATAATAAAACAAGCGGACGGGGTTGTATCATCGTTTCGGTAGATCCATGCTATCATGAGTTGGCACGGTTAAGGTGGGACATGTCGAGGTCACGACAGGAACTCATCCAATTCCTGACCAATGGACGGACACCGAAGAAGACAAGGTCGAAGACCAGATGGATAAACTAGTCAGAAAGTAAGCCAAGGAGCCATCCAACAGTACCACATAAGCAAACAACCAGTCACAACTGAAGGTCAGTATTGCGTATATAGACCTGTGCACGCAGCTGCTCAGTGCACATCCTAACTCACCAAACCGCTTTGTTTTAAAGACGAACAGGCGAAGTCATTTCAAGTAGTGATGAAGGGTACGCAAACTTCGTGAACGGACCCACGACCAGCTTATCAAACTAATGGGCTCTTTAAGGTTGGCAGGGAACGAACTAATGGGTGCAGCATGACGTGTGTAATGAAGAAAAATATAACACCAGCCAGGCAATCGAATTTCTAATACAACTGACCATGCACAGCAGTCACGAGTATAAGGCTATCTCTATCTCTTTAATAAGACCAATAGGATGGAAACTACTCACAAGGTTGCTGAAAACTATTCGACCTTGCGAGTAGTTTCCTTTATGAAAATATACTGCGATATCTCGAATATCTGGCCAACTGAAACATGAGGCGGCCTGTGTGCAGCACATTCAGTTGAAGAACATCATAAACGAGAGATTCACCTGAGTTTTCCGTGAAAACCAAATTGATTTGCAAGTGAGTGTATTTGTGGAAACCAACAGGACGGACTTCGGTGCGAATTTTTGAGGTCACAGTAGACGGCAGACAGTAGACTGCATCATATTAATTATCGCATCTCAGGCCCTACGAATTCCTTTTCACTATACTAAGCAAGTTATAGCAGTGAAATGGATAATCCGGCTGATAAAACGAAAGGAAATCGAACAACTGACAGCATCGGGCTAGACATCGACAGACTGCTTCACATTATCAGAGCTAATGGGAACACAGTTTTCTCTGCCTAAAATAAGAGTGGTGGATCCCTGAAAAGCTTGATCAAGGACATTTCATCTTCAGTGGAACTCATCAGCCACACGGCACTGGCCGGAAAAACACCGGTTTACCAAACAGGCATAAGCAGCTGGTGGAGTTTGCTAACTTGGCGTGACACAGGCCAATCAGTCGTTGGCCTAAACGATGAATCTGGTAATCCATGAACAGCTAGGATGTAAAAAAACAGCCGACACTATTAACAGTTTCGTTCACTTGTCAAATTATCGTGAAGGCACAGGTTTACTACCAAATACTACATGCAGGTGATGAAAAAGTCTGCATGCTAGACTTCCAGTAAGCATTACTCTAGTTCGACCTCTGGTACGACAGCCAAATCACGTCAGTGAAACTCACTCAGGAATAAGAACGCCGAGCCGCGGGGCAGAAACGCGGTTGTACACACGGCGTACAAGCGCCACTCCATTTAATTCAAACAAAGCCTGTGCGAGCGCAGCGAGACCTTGGGCCACGGGATGGTTTTCTGAAGGACAGTTGGCCACAAACACAAGTACGCTGTCGCCCAGGTGAAGGTTGATCGGCACCTGGAACGTGACAGAGAGAAATAATACAAACAAGGGCTTTTACAAATAGGAGCTAGTAGTTCACTCTGATAGATAGTACCCGACTATGTGTAGTGACTGTCAGAAAAGAGCCGGTAAGCCTGATACTTCCTATGAACTTCCTACGAGTTGGTCGCTTCTGATATCCAGTCAAATGTTCCTTCGGACAGTTTTTACCGGCTGAATTCCCCTAATGAAGTGTACGCGAACACAAGTCCTCCACTTTTGGTTGAGAAAGATCAAACTGTATTCCGGTCTGGGGCTAAGTTGCTCCACGGAACAGAATTTAGTGTTCTTGGGTCACATTCATGAAATGTCACTGCAAAAGATAGGAGCTAACAGATTTCTTACCATCTCAACCCAGTGTCGTTCAACGAGAAACATCCTTTCGTTCTGGGTTTCTGAGAGACACAGTTATTTTCATTATAACACAGAATATTCAAGCAAGGCAAACGAATCGTCCCAAGACAGAGCTACCACTGCTCTCTTAGAAGTCCGGGAATAGGCTATACAGGCAAAATCTTAAAAAAATAACCACTCAGCTGCAATGTCCTTTCGGTGCGTAGCCGCCGCATCACTCTAAGTTAGCACGAAGGCTCGGATATCACCCAGTCGCCCAAGTCTGGGTAGAAGCATTAGACATAAGGGGTTTGGGTGTCAACCTTTCGGCCAGTAAATTCGCGCCTCAACGAAAAAGCTACACAAATGGAATACTATGGGACTGCACAAGTGCGGGAAAAGTTGCAAGGAATGTGCTCCGGAAGGAGTTGGATTACCGGAGAAACATATTTGGAGGTGATGACAACATACAGCGACCAGCAAGCAACTTACGTTAGAGGCCGGTGTGAAGCCGATTAGAGTTAGACACTTCTCCGCTGCCGGTTGAACAGCCGCTTTGTCCTCAGCTGTGAAAGGCACCATGGTAGTGCCGTACCGATGGCCTGGTTATTGAGGAGTAAACCATGCGAAAAACGTGACAATCCATGTTATAACAAGGGGTATTTATTCCTACAAAGGAGAAAACTCTACAATCGAAACGGGCGGTATTTGTAAGGCATAGGATAGAGGTGATGGACCCAGAAGTAAAGCATTCTATAGAAGGTTTCTTTCTGTACACAGCAGGAAATGATATGGAAATTAATGAAACAAGTTCCCACCTCTTCAGAAAAAACATAAACATAAGACGAATTAGTTCCGATATGTTACTCACGCACGCATGACCGATTTGAGCAATCGACCAGGAACCTAAGCACACGAAATATCAAGGAAAAGGAAGCTCTTGAACAGGACTCGCATCTGCAGTGCCCCCGTGAGCGTCAGCGAATACCAGGAAGGTGTTGGTTAGAACAGATGTGGAATGGAGACGAGGGTCTGAAAATTCATCTGGGCAAATAAATCTGACTGAATTACAGTTGCAGCGAAGGGAAAGTGAACCCTCGCAAAGCGTCTTAACTGACTGCATCAGTGGATTCATTAAAAAGAGATTTAAGAATGGGTGCGGGTACATATCTTGAAGGCTGGGACTTGAAGCATGTAGCTGTCGATAGATTACCGTCCGGATTTGTAAACGAATTCTGACGACGGTAGATACTATCCACAAATGAATATTCACAGAAATGAACCGCGAATCTATTGCAGTAAAGTTCACCAATAAGAGAAACATCGTGTTTGCGGGCATTCTCGAAGTCCCGTTGGCAATTCCATAAACATTAGAGTGTGAAGTAGTTATGAACAGAAACGTTATGGGGTTTACCTGTAATCCTATCCACTGACGCCGATAGAACAAGGTTCTTCAAATAAGGTAGTTAGTTGGTCGCTAATCAGGTATTTCTACTAAATGTGCTGCACAAGGCTGCCTCATTACCATCGGTAGGATACTCGCATTATCGTAGGATAATTCCATGAGGGAACATAGTACTCATAAAGTTGTTGGAAACTCTTCGACATCCAACCACCGGTTGCGACCTACTTGGGACTCACAACGTAGGTGCAAATCCCGAGTTTCGATTAACCTACCTGGTGAGCTTCACGCAAGGTAAAACCAGTCATGAACTGTCAGAGCTTCCAGCAATCTTATGAATAGGTATGTTGCGTCAGCTAATTGCTCATTTTCTGGAGGAACCACGACAAAGGAGCGTAGTTTATCAACATACGTTTTATTCCACCGATATCCGACCGATCTCTGAGTTCGGATTTCCCATGCTCCAACGAACCTTTGAGCTTGTGAAGAAACTTGTATTTTATTATATAATTTCCAAACTTTCCTCAGCATGTGCCCTGGAGCACTGTAGGCTAAAACGCGTCGGGGTTCATAGACTGTTAGTTCAGCTGATAGACACCTCACAATACTTCCAGAGTGAAATGCAATGAGGTCGGACAAGCGAACAGCTAGTTGCAAGCAGCTACGGGCTGCTAGATATCAGATTCACAATGTGCTGGTCAGGAACCCTGGAGGAAGTAAAGACCAGCAGGGTAGGAAGATGCTTTTGGTAAGTGGGTTTAAATGATGACGCTCAAACGCAGCAATTTACAAGCGCTTATGTTAAAAACACACTTCTGTGGGAGAAGGCGTGCGGTGAGATGTATCGATTTCAGGACCATCACTGGCATATGGAGTGTCCCTTTTCCAGCAGTTTTATTGAAGACGGCGTAGGCGCTTCTAAACCATGGCTTGAGGGACATATTAACACAGTAAAAGACTCCTCAAGTGGTTGTTCGTTGGAGTGGTCATGAATGAGTGACTTCAACCTGGCGTTTGTCCGTGTTCCAATACAAAATTGACGCTTATTCCTTAAGTATAGGGAAGAGGACAGTGTAAATAGTGAGGATGAATTTAGCACAACTTACGATACTAGTTAAATTGGTCGATTTATGTGTTGTAACTCTGTGCAGAGGGGTTTGCGGTGGTTTCGCCTGACCCCAACAATGGTAGATCTAACCGTGAAGTTTGAAGGCAATAACAACAAGCAACAATCGCACAGCTGTAACACTCTCTTGGTGCCTAGCTTCCACGCTGTCCAAAGGGAGCAAGGTGGCTGTGCTACTGCCAGGCTGCCGAAGCCTGGACTGGAGCAGCCGAAATGTCGAGCTTGTGTTCGAACCATGGACCTTCCAGTCATTAGCTCCACGCCTTAACCCACAAGCTACCCCGAGCTTGAATTTGAGGACAGTCAATATAAATAAATGGATAAAACACGTCCAGCAATCAGAAGAGTTCACTTGTGAAAGCGTTGAACCTAATCAAGCCCGGTAGTTTCCCACAAACGAACAAAACCTTGAAGTTATTTTTTCATGCATTTAATGCCAAGTAACTTCTTACGGTCCTTGTTGAAGGATTGACAAGCGAAAAACCAATGACGACTGGATTTGAAGATGTCAATTAAGACATGTCAATTAGTAAAACATAGTCGGGACATTTGTCCGTCGTTCAGCACCCGGAATGAAATCCAAACATTGGGTCAATAATCGATATTGGCCATACGTCCAAACGGTACATTCAAAGTGCTGTGGTAGATCGCGAAATAGTGTAGAACACAGTAACATAACACTGACACTGGTATTTCCAACTCATGAGTTCTGAACAGGAAAAAAAACGGCGGACTGTTCATCAAGGTGCCCTACCCCTATCTCTAGGATCAAGCGCTATTAATGAGTCAGCCCGTAAATGAAGGTACACATCAGCAAACCAAGAGACATCGGCTCGCTAACCTCTAAATGCGATCCACAAACAGAGACCCGCGGTGTGTGCCCAACAAACAGAATGTGTTTAAATTTGGGCTTGTCACGGCTTTCTGTGCTCAATTCTTTCAAAATGGGAGGGCCTGTAGCTTCGATCGTATGGAGGCTGAGGCAGTTTGCCTTCATAGTGCCGTCACTGGTGGCGCTTCAAAGACAAATAGAATTTCTGATGCATGATTTTGCACAGCTATTGATGCAGCGTTTGTTGACACAGGCTTGGGCACGTCATTGCTCTGCGCTACAGTACCCACAGTGCCTAGAATAGAGGACCGCAGCTATCCGACAAATTGCGATAACAATCCGGTTTCCATTAAGGAAACTACTCCCAACGTTGCTGAAGATTCCCAAGAATGGCGAATCCGGCAGTGGGCTATCGAAGAGTTTGTAGAAACCTTGTGAGTAATCCACTTTATGGAGGACATACTGCGATATCTCGAATTACCAAACTAAACACGAGACGACCTTTGTGCAGCACATTCAGTTGAGTAATATCGTAAACGAGACATTCAGTTGAGTCTGCCGTGAAAACCAAATTGATATACAAATTAGTGTATTTGTCGTTTCCGTTTCGATGGACAGTAAATAAATCAAGAAGATAAATCATTCAGAATGATGTATTTCGGGTTGAATGCCAGTAAAATGCGATTCATAAACACGAACAATGTAGCGGAATCCAACGCGTCGGCCTAGAGGCAGGGGGACAGTTATGAACATCGCTTTTCCCGATGATTTTTTGTAATTCTATGAAAACACGTCAAGACGCGCATGCACGCAGTGTGCGGCTTCGCTGATAGATGTGCCGCCGGTAGCAATCAAATAGTTAGAACAGTGTCTGACACAAGTGATATCAAGAAAGTGCACACAATCATCGAGAGGTCCAAATATAGTCAAGTGTGGAGCTTGTCAAAACAAAGTTATACTTAGGCGTCTCTGACAGAGCAGACGGCTGAGCACCCAAGGAAACTAAATAAAAATGAAGCAAGGCATGTCCTCAGGAGAAAGCCATGTGACCAGAGTGATTTGCCAGGTTTGGCTACGTGAGAGGATCCAGACAAGTGTGTGGCGTTAGAATCTAGCAAATGTGTCATTCTACAGATAGTTGACTCGGGTGCTTTGCAAACCAAAGGCACCTTCAACAACATTCAAATCATGGCACCTAAGCAGCAACAACTATGCCCATTCGATGCTCAAGTGCAGCAGAGGATTGAGGGAGACTTGAGCATTAGATTGTTATGTTGAGGTCGGACAGCGGTGGACTGTTTAGGGTTTTCACTGACCGTGTTAGCAGTATCAGTGAAGGAATTATAATACATTTTTTACAGGAAACTAGACGGAAGAACCTGAGTAACATCCGAAAGATGTACATTTGATTGCATAAACGGACTGAAAGGATGGAAATCAGGTCTTGACGCCACCACAAGTAACATAAACAAGACGCTCAAATAAACTATACAACAAAGCCAAGCCCCATGGAAGCCCATGAACAAGAAATATTGTCCTCCAAGTCTAGAGCATTCCAAGAATACACCAAACGTACCCCGAATGACTTGTGTCGATCGCAGTTCTGTGGCATTTTCGTCCTGAGTACAGTATGTTGTTATGGCACGGATGGGCGTGGAAGGACAAGCGGCATAGAGTTGAGTCAGTGTTGGTGGACGGGCTTCTCGGACCTGTGTGAAGCCTTCAACCGGCAAGGATAAGGAGTCGCCAATTTGGAAGTCAACCTTCCAACCACGTTGCGCGACGGCGCGTGTTTCGAAATAAGCAAGTGCGGGAATAGCCTCACTGCGTTGGGTGAAGTACATGTGGATTATATGAGTAGCATGGACAGTAAAAAAAAGTAGGCATTGCTAATAAATTTGTAGCCGATAGTTTGACCGAAGAATCTTCATAACCCGCTTGGAGACGAAAACATGTCGCAGTTGACCTGGACCGGAACCTGAAAGGATGTCTGAAAAGTATTCCAAGATTAAGTGACGTGGAATGCAGGATTGAAGGACTAGTTGTGCAATACTCAGTCTGCCTGCAGGTTAATCGACTATGTCGATTCGAACTCCTATCCAAGATATCCGAGGCTTCATATGGATTCATTCTATGAATACTGATGGCGATTTTAAACGAGGATGAAACAGTTACACGGTATGCCTGGAATTTTCAGCAGAGGTAGACTTTAATTGTATGAGAAAATTCAGATCCTAGACCTCAAAATCTCCTCCTTACACGTACAATCACAGAGTTTAAACTATTGGGACGGCACATTCCGCATACCGTAGTCAGATGTTAGTATGCACATCAAACAGACTGACGGGTAAACATGACAAGCCATTTTGAACATGGCAGGATAAAGAGTCTGCAATAGAGGAGAACCTTAATCAACACAATTGTAATGATGGCCATTGATTTGTTTGCCAAGCTGGGTAGCACACAATGCGAATCGGCTGAACCAGTGCATGCTATTGCCACAGGTTTGTCGAGGAATTGTGCTCTATTCAGTACTTGCGGCTGCTGGGAGCAAATCACACTTTTGTGTCCGACCAACATAAATGATAAACACGAAAAGGGAAGCACCACAAGCAACAGTGCCCTGATGATGCTTTTGTACAATTATGAAACTGTGAACGAATCGAAAGAGAGCCAAAGGTTTGTTCTTGAAACTAAAATTGAATAGGGCTGTCTTGCAACAAAAAATGATGAATGCGTCCACAGTTGATCAACAATCCGTGTGAGCCAGACACTGATATACTAATCTCAGAATCGCATGCCGGAATCAGAATAGCAAGGAACAAATCATTCACAAAAACGAAACCCTTACAACATGTTGCAGATACAGAGTTGTGCAATGCAGTTTAAGCACTGTTTGGTAGGACCAAAATAGAGTGATAAATCACTGTAACGAACAACGGTCGAAATGACTCTACTAGAGTATGTGGGAACGCCAGTGCTTTAGTGCCATGGGTTATGAAAGCGATTCGAGTGAATCTGTTTTCATGATCGGCGGGGAGGCGGGGATACTGTACAAGTTGCACCTGGTTGTAAGCTAAAGATAGGTACGTGCTCGAGTGTGTGAACTGATAACACAAAACCACAAGCTCAGACTTGGACTAATCAAAATTGGCTGAGTTAGCCGACTACTGGCTGAATGGGGCATTGGAAGAAAACATGAACGGCAAAAAAATGTAGAGACGGGGAAGACAAAGAGTGTCAACGACACCTACAAGCTGTGAACATAACAACCGCTTTTCCATGCTGCACAACACCTACAGTTGGTAAGCTGCGGTGCCTGACATGACCGAAAGGTGCACTTAAATAGATCCCACCGGAAGAAGGTTTGCAGATAACATCTTGAACAAAAGCCCAGTTGTACCTAAAATAAAGCCATATGACCATCTCAGTATGGTGGACATCAACACGCGGCAGATTAGCACAGGCGTACTCACACTAGCTCCGCTGTCCGTGGTGTGGCGATGATCCGCATAATGGAACAAATCATAAGGAAACCCTAAACAAAAGTTGTTAACAAGTGATCTGCGGACAACTGCAAAGCTGGGCTTGATTACCTCAATAAAAAATACGGTGATGACACATTTTGGCGGAATGGAAAGAAACAGTATGAGAGAAAGCAAAGTTGAAGAACAACGAGCATAGCCTGTTATGAAAGACGATGAAAAAATCCACAAATCGGGACTTTAAATTAGCATTGGTTTCAAACTTTGTCCCATAAACTTAAGGTGGAAAAGTGGCCGTTCGGCAGACAATATGGTTTCCACTGCCGACTTTTCTGCCTACCACGAACCTGATCCTTCAGAATATTGCACTCACTGGAATGATCATATCAACGCTTGCTATGACCTACGTTGCCCTGTTGACGTCATTCACACCAGTACTGACAAGTTTTCTTCTCTTTTGTTTGAGCGGTTACGGAGGGGAAAGATGACTCTTCATAAAAAGAAGTACATAGGTTTGTGAACCGATGTGAGCAATCAGTTAACCAACCGAACAAGATCTCTGCCAGCGCGCAATCATCCAGAAAAGCTGTGGAATGTAGCGGACCTTAAAAACAGTTACGCACCGAAGGATGAGTTGCTATAGGCCTGTCAATCCCACCTACTGCAGCAATAGTCGCCAGTGAGGATTGTACGAATGAGAATAGCGTAGCATTAGTGCATAAGGACGTGTGACAGATAAAGTCGTGCAACGCATGTCGTTCTGATGATCATCCTTATTTTTTAATGTGCGCTGGCATGCTTGGCGGAACAATATCTGTTCTGGTCACTAGGTGTCTTCTTATCCGGAAAATTTTCTACTGGTGACTTGGATAATACTGTTATCCTCCGACACTGGAAGTTCTATTCCCCTGATCTCTTCCTGGGGTTCCTTAAGATAGCTTAATGTCTGACTGACAACTTGCTAAATGACCTCTGCAAGTGCAAACGATTTTTGAAGAATGCCTTGGTTACCTTCTTAGTAAGCATATGCTCCTTGCATGTTCCAAACTCAACTAACTAGTATTTCCAACATTCCCCACCAACCTCACATTCTGCCAACTTGCGTAAAAAGTTCACAAGTGGAAGATTTTTCAACGTACATAAAATGATTTCACCAGCTCTATATGAGACCACCATGAATCCCTTTGGAGTGCACAGACTTATATTGAATTGACTTGATGGTGAGTTGAACCAATAGTACGGAAAAAACTACCGTGGCATGGTTTAACTCACTCGAATGTGTAGGACTCGCCGTTTAACTGAGACCATAGATCACCAATAGCCTTTTGAGCTGGGTGAACCTTGAATTGTTTATCTCCGTTACTCCGGCTGCTGGAAGGTCCAGGATTGGAATCTGGGCTAAGTGTAGCAGGCTCGCTCTTTGGTGGTGCAGAGCCTTCGGGAAGACTGAAACCGATCAGACTTAGTTTCACATCAGCAATACGGAGGTTGTGGGCAACTTCGGTTAGCTGCGAAATATCCGCTGGGCCCAACAGATTACTTATAAGTAGGATGCGTTTCTCGGACAATCCTTTGCGGTCACTAAACAGCAGGCCCTTGGTAAGTGATACCCGATGGTCATTAGCACGTACTTGCATTGCGTCACGAGATGATTGACACCAACAATCAGAGCATCCACGACTAACGGGCAGATTAAGTGGAATTCAAAACCTACCGTCAGCATCGTCGGTAGACAAAAGTGACTCTGAATTGAAGAATTCCAACAAATCCCAATCCAGCGGAGCTAAGGTACGAACCAATGAAATGTGGACAAAATTTCCATTTCCATCAGCCAAATCATTATCTGTAGCTTCCGTGCCACAAAGGACGACAGCAACTTCCTCTTTTTTCTCTTGAAAAAACTAGGTGAACGGAAATGGCTGGAGATGGAATTAGACGGTACCTTGCGTTGGATTAAGAGTTTCAAACAGTCCACGGCTTGGTCAATATCTGTGGCCATATGAACACCTACATCCAGAATGATACAAACCACTGCCTACAACAGAACGACAATCGTCTTCACAAGCAAAGGAAATTACCGTCATCTCCACAGCTTGTGTCAGAAGGTATGTAGGTAAGTAGGTAGGTAGGTATGTAGGTAACAATTCCAAACCACACCAGTTATTTTTCACTTTCAAAACCCATCTTCCTTTGTTTGGTATGGGTCAGCACACTTCGCAGGGCTGTAAAAGCCAGCTGAAAAGTGAAAGCAAAAAGTCGCATATGATGAGTTTTATGGGGATGCACGAATAATCTGATGCAGAAGACTTTTCTGTTGCATGAAATCTCACGGCACAGTGCCAAATTTACACGAAGGAGGAGAAAATTTGGGGGGATACCAAAATACTTCCTATAACCTGGTGTTTCCTCTTGGGATGGGGCAGCCGTATGATACTATGTCGATATCTTACCTGAATATTAAAAACAGTTCATACCAATTTTTATCAGCTTCAACGAGGCGAGCGCTCCATGTGTTCGATATCCTTGCATAGCTGTGACCATAAACCATCATTGCTGCGTCAATCGTTCAGCTGAAGCACCCTGTCGGTGCCTAACTGCCATACCACCCGAATGTGGGCTGGGATACTGCCAGGTTGCCAAAGCCTAGACGGGGGAAGTCGAGAGGCAGCCATGAGGTTCGAACCACGGAACTTCCGGTCAGTAAATTTGCGCTCTAACAAATTGGGCCATCTCGCGTCAGCGTCAGCTTACGAACCAAAGTGTACGTGGTTCGAATCCGACTTCTGTCTTTCGACTTCCTCTTGTTAGGCTTGGATAACCTGGAAGTATCTCAGCCCTCGTGCTCCATTCGGGTGGCACGGCAGCTGGGCACCGAAGGGATGTAACAGCTGAACGATTGTATTGTATTACACAACTGAGAGTCGGCCTAAGTCCCCAAAGTGCATGAATGAATGACCAACGATAACAGATTTCGCGACTAAAGAGGTCAAGGAAGCGAACGACAAACATCTAGTTTAGAGGATCGGATTCCCAGTTGCCTTTGCACACAGGTTACTTATGCTACTTTTTCACTGGGCCGGATCATGAGATGTGATAAGTGGGTGCCCTGCAAGATCACTCACCAGCAAGAACAGTTTTGCGTCGACGCGAATCATACCCGAAGAAGGATTCGTTGAGTGGTTTTCGACGCGCTCGGCTGCAGCTGGAGAGATGGTCACTTGGTTGATGTCGTCCTCAAATGGAGCGGGAATGTGTAATAAATAATCACTGAGCTATCTCGCTTTGAATTTGTAATGACGGTATTTTCTGAGGTAATTTCTCAATCTGAACGGTCTAAACCAGCGTGCCCGTCAGAACAACCCCCAAAAGTGCATAGCATGGATTAATGCGAAAAAAAGGTTCATACACATGTACAGCGCGTTGTATACAAAGTGTATACGGCGACAACATTCTGGATATTTTGGCACCTTCTAGATCCACCATTATCAACCGGCCTTCGGTGGATATTAAATCATGGCTGTTTTTGTCCATACTTTTAACCAATAAGAGATCGCTTTGAAGCTGGACCGACAAGCGGCCCACCAACACACGAGGCCACCAACAGAAAATCAATCGCGAAATCAGTAAACTATTTGAAAGCCAGTTACTAGTGAGAAGCTACAATTCAGGATGATCGCTCCTTCAGGAATACACAGAGTGAGTCGGAGGACAGTTGCAAAACGATGGGAGAAGTCATCCGCACGCAACTGAAACCATCTCTTTGATCACCTGTACATTCCTTATATAAAGATGAAAACTCTCACTGATGCCGGGCAAAACCCGACTCTCACGTAGCAAATAAAGCGCCCTAACGCCCAAGGATCGACATAGAGTGTTGCTGGGTAACGAAGGCCCAGATGATGGAGGAAGCTTTTGTGTGGGAATTAGCCGCATCCTGTCCCAACTGGCCCGATGAAGCAGGCCAGCGAAACTATCTCCAAAGGGGATCTAAAATCCTTTCATTCATAGAAAGGCCGTCCAGAACGATGGGATGAACACCTTCAAAAACAATTTGCATGGAGTCCACCACTCAACCCGAATGGAACATGGCAGAAATCCAAGACGAAATTTAGTTGCTTAAAAGCAACAATACACCCGGTTCGGATAGTTTGCATAGTTCGCTCTTCAAAGGCCGTGAGTACCTTGCAGCTAACCAGTCTAACTTTCCCCAAATTATTCAGGAAAATGCCGAAAGACTGGGGCGTTTCGACGGTGGTTCCGGTACCTTACAGGCATGTAAATACCACCCCCCCAGGACACCAGTTTAGTATCAATAGCTTGTAAAGTGCTCTCCGGTATTAACATGAGGTTGGTCCATTGCTGTAACTCAGATCCGCAAGAGATAACTATGGTAGATTCAGATCGAGGTTTAATGAAACGCATTTTCACATGCGACATACGCCTGGACTGTGCCACTCGCTCGGGCGAGTGGTCGTCCGTTACAAACTATGATTGCGCCTGTCAGTGAGAGAGGTCCCACCTAAATTTTTGTCTTATACGCTTACCCTTACGGACGCACACGGGGCTATGGGGAACTTGATCCTGAGGTCACCACCACCAACGGTGCTATGTAAGGTAAACCCCTAACATTCCTCCTCATCAAATTCGTCATCAGCGTCCTCCTTGGATCTTCATTGTTTCTAGTACTTCGGAGTCAAACCGTTCCCAGGTCGTTGGCTCATACGCTTAGTATGTGCACAAAATCGCTCCTGCGGGGTAGGAGTCTTCAGAAATACATGAACTAGAGGATTCTGCTGCACTGTCAGGCATGTGTGTTGTGTTGTGCGGTGGCCCAGCTATTGGGTTACGCCTGCACTGCGCCTGCCAGACTACGCGACAGGGAGAAGACAGAGAAATGGGGACACGGCCGTATTGCCAGGAAAAAACGTACAGAGCGTCTGCGTAGATATATAGGATGACTACTTGGCCAAACATGGTCGTTCACTTGTTCGCTCCGTACAGCCAGTGGTGGTGTTCCGGTCGTGAACATTCTCAGGCCCACTACGCTGGTCGTGTGTTGCTAAGCCGTTTGGTGAGAGCGGCCAACTCACCTACTTTCCGGACGTGTCGAACCGATGATGACCTTAGGGATGCGTCACTCTCTGCACATGTACTTTTTCTTCTGTCTGGGCGCGCCCTGACAATGTGCCCCACACCTGTAATCGTTATCATCATCATCATGATCGCTGACAACACCAGACGAGAACACTGGTGTTTCACTGCCGTACAACTGTATCCGCGTTTTGGATAAAGCTTTGTAATGGAAAGGAAAAACGGCGGTGGTAGGCCAACCCTACCGCAAACCTCCGACAAAGTCAGACAACCTGGAGAGAAACTCACAGCATGAATGCCAGACATCGGTTAGCCGCCACATCGTTCAGTGTCTTCAGTCAAGCACAGGGTCAACTGCACTCCATCCTGGAAAGTGAACAGTACCCCAGTTAGAGATATGAAACATCAGTTGTCAAACACACGAAGATGTCTGAGATCCTCCGCACGAATTTGACAATTCTCGCATAAGCACTACAATATAGCCCCGCTGCACTCTGATATATGCATGCTTTGAGGACCAGTCATATGACTTTCGACGCCACAAGATAGCAAACGCAACCCTGATCTTCAAGATCGATGCGTTCAATTCGGCTGGATGATGCAACTTTCGAGATATGTAGTGTTCCGCAACCTTCAGTATCATTCCTCAAATTCTCGTAGGCATCCTGTTGTCTTCCCAGTAAACACGTCACCGCGGCACCACCGGTGGCAAGAGGTGGCAAATAGGGGTGGCATGTTACGCTTGCCACCGATGGCGCCACCACACCAAAACTTTGGAGGCCTTCTACCTTTCGCCTAACTATACAATTATCAATAACGAACTTGGGCAGATATAGGAGGAGTGGGCAATCTTGAAGGGCACCACTTTCTGTACGAAAGAATTGGAGAACCGCCCATACACACACGCGCGCCCAGAAGTATGTGAATACCAATAAAACACGAAATTCTGGGACATATGCTGTTGCCCAGGCATTTTTAGAAGTAACTAAACGGCAGGATCAAACGCATTCCTGAAGTCAGCAATATTAATATCTTAAGGCGCCCATGAGCATTATGATTCACGGATTCACGGATTGATACACAGTATCGAGGCCATTGCCCAAGACTCCCGGGTCGCTTTTGTTCTTGTCGGTCAGTGGCTGCCGTTCACCTGAAAGGCGCAAGTGAAAAAAGAGTGCACCAAGGCTCATTTTGTTCTCAGCGCGGGACAGTATGCTTGCCAGCGTGAGGATTCGCATAAATAAACGTCTAACAGTGCTTTAAACTGGGTCCTAGAAGGAGCGTGGACAACCGTCGGAGGAAGGTCATTCCACGCAGCTACTACCCGAAATGGGGAAAAAATTGTCCAATGAATGTGTGTGCTCTGAGCTTGGAAATTGTCTTACTATGTCCCCGCCGTGTGTTTGCTGGGTCAG